CTCTCTCTCTCTCTCTCTCTCTCTCTCTCTCTCTCTCTCTCTCTCTCTCTCTTTCTCTCTCTCTCTCTTTCTGTTTATCTAAGAAAAAGTTCTATTATGATTTTCGTAATACGCCATTTTTGAGAATAAGATTGTGAGCGGAATGTGACTATGTCACGTTCATTTCTTCTCTTTCCATTTTTTTCTATTTCTTTAAATTTCTTTCTTTTCTCATCACAAATCATTTGCAAATTTGTGTTTTGTTGAAAAAAAATCTTGCATCACAAGCAGTGTGTGAATTCGCAAGCTGTCTTCTAAGGACATATTGAAGGAGGACACATTTTGCTTCAAAATAAAAGCGACACGCAAAAATCAAACAAATTTTCTCATCTGGTAACAATGAATATTTCTATTTAAAAACGGGAAGATCATCAAAAAAGATATCTTTTATATCTACATGTATGTAACCTTCATTCATATAACTTCCCAACATCACTATCTTGAAAATGGTCTTGAAATAATATAAACAGAATAAATAAAATCAATGGAATAAAAAATAAGATAAAAAAAAGTAGCAAAAGTTCAAACATTTAAGTATGAAAGTATGAAAGAAATTTTTCGAGAAATAGATTAATTAAAATGTTAAGAAGGAACGTTATTTGCAACACTACATATTTAATTTTGAACATCTGGAATTATATAGTATTGCAACTTTTACCGTTACACTCTTGAAACTTTGAGATCTGATTCTGACTCGAGCGTCAGAATTAGAGTCTCATTTTTTAATTTTGATGTGAAGATATATATTTACACATGATATATTTATGTAATCATGCCGTGTAAACAGGCCCTATCGGTTTATGATGCATATGACATAAATTATACAAAGAGGAAAAGAAAAACATTTCAGTTGACGATTTGTCGCGTGTACGCGATTCTCGCCTCCGGCCGCAAAATTATTAACATATTATTCGTTTTGTCGTGCGCAAATCCAACTGACTGATTGTTGCGTGGGACGTTTTGTTCTGCAAGAAATCAAATCTAGATTAAACTCAAATTCCGATGCCTTTGACGTAGCTTTACATATCTTCGTTTATAGCAATAAAAATGCTACAATCACCGTGAGCTAATTATAATCGAAGTAATCGCAATCGTAAATGCGCCATTGCAAGAAATTTTTTATGCAAGATATTTTTTTTAAATAAAAAAACCAATAATTTTATTTTCACACCATTTGACAATAATTACTGATCGAATTATCATTCCGCTTCAACGACTTTATAACTGCTGTTGTCGTTGGAAAGGCGTTGAACAATATCGCAAACACACACACACACACACACACACACACACACACACACAC